ACTGAGCAAAGATTTGATCACTTATTGTGCGAGCATGGAATAAAGCTAGTTAGGCTGAGAGGATGAAAATCATCCCGGTTAGGGCTGTAAGTGATGTGAAGAGCTTGGGGTGTGCTGTCTGTATTAGGATGGGCACTACTGTACTTACTAATGTCCATATCTTGCCACCTTGTTCATGTTGAAAAGCACCTTTTTTCGATAAGCTCTACATATGTTTTCATGGAATTTCTCCAGGAGTGAGGTATTGCTCACCCAGGAGTAAGGCTGATAGAATCTGGCCTTCAGTAGGGGATTTATTAAAGAAATGCACATGATCATAACCTGCTGTCTGTTTATGAAAGCCTCAATTCAGCAAAGCACTTAAGTGTGTGCTTAAGCCCCATTCAAGTCAAGACATTGAAGTTAAACTAATAACAGTTGTAATGCAAATTCCTGGCCTCCACACCTTGACCTTCCTACAAATGTATTTCGCTTCTATTTCTTGTTCTTGGAGCTAGAGCATGAGTCTAAAACTGGGATCCCCTCAGAAATGCAACTCAGTGCATTTATTTATGCAAAAGACCGAGACAAGGAAGGGTTGACAATGATGGGAATGTGTGGAATGGGGTGGAAATTCATCATCCTCTTCGGTTGCTCTTTGTGCAAGGAACTGAAAGTGGTAATGTCCTGTTAGCACACGCTTCATTCACTAAAGCACTGTAGGCTAAATTCTGCCCTGTGTTACTCTGTTTCAATCCTATTGACTTTGGTGGGGTTGCCCTGGCATAACATGGGGAAGGATTGGCCCTTGGACTCTCCAATTTGTGTTGAATTATCTAGAATTTGCAAGCTGATTGTATTCATGCACTTCACTGGTTTCTTCACAGGGAGCGGGAACAAAAGACAGGACTCTGATTCGAATTATGGTGTCGCGCAGCGAGGTTGACTTGCTGGATATACGCACTGAATACAAGCGGATGTATGGCAAATCCCTCTACGCAGACATCACAGTAAGACTTTTTTTTTTTTTTAAATTATTTGTCTCCTACCATTGATTCCTGTACATACCATAAAACCCCACTCCCGACACTGAATAACTGAGTGTATGCTCCCTGCTTCTCTCTTCATGCATGGAGGTCCAAAGTGCCATGGAAAAGCTGTGTGAGGAGGAGACTGGGAAGAGGCCATACTGGTGGCTTCTGTCTACTCTCCATGGCAGCAGTGGAATGTGGGTTTGGAGAGAGAGAGGCCAAAGGATCAGCATCTCCACAGATTCACTGGCACCCACCTCACTTGCAGAGGAGATGTGCTTGGTCCCCAGCCTCTACTGGAGTGTAACGGGCTGTAATGGCAGCCAAAGAGACTGACTGCCTGCACAGCAACTCTGTAACCTGGCCATGGATGACAGAGAGAGGACTAGTGTCCCCAACCCTTAGCAAATGCTCACTACAAGTCTGCCTTTGGGTGGAGATGCGTTTGCACTATAACTACTAGAATGTAAACTAAAGCCTGAAAATTGGACATGCTGTCAGCTGGGAAGGGGTGTGTGGTTGTGTGTAAAATCAGCTCTTTTATCAGGCAGCAGCAATTGCCAGCGCTAATCAGTTTAAACAGAGTTTGTGGTTCAAAGATATGAATCCATGGTGATTCAGTTTTAGACTCTGATTATTCAGGACACCGTGGATGTGAATTAAAAAGTAGTTATAATATGGCCCATTTCTGTTTCCTTTGAAGTAAAAGTGGAAACTTCCATTGACTTCAATGCAAACAGGATTAGGTTCCTAATGCATATTCCCCTTGTTAATGCAGAGCAGCCCTCTCCTTCCATTAACCATGGCATAGATCTGATTATTAAAATTATGAAATTTTTAGGATTTGTCCTGGTGTATTGAAGCAACTTCCAAACCCAGCTGAGAACTGCTGTGACACTGTTAATCCACACAGAACAGTTAGCAGCCATGTCCAAAACCAGATTGTAGCATGGCTTTAGCTAGTACACAATATTCTTGGACAGAAAAACTGTGTGAGCCCTTTTACAGCACCGGTTTAGCTATCACACATTGTCATTCAGAAACCGATATTTAAAATGCCTCTGCTCCTAAGGAACCATTGGTGAATTTCAGCCAGTATGGCATTTGTGATGAGATATTGTTAGCTGCAAGATGTCTCTTGTAACTTTTTCACCTCCCTCTGATACACACACTCTCTGATTTCTCATTTGGTTTGGGCCTAAATGGAAGCTTTTTTTTTTTTTTTTTCATTTTCTTTTTTAAACCATGCCATAGAATGCAATAGATGTGTTTAGGAGTGAGAAATCATTCTGCTAGAATCATTAATGTGAAGTCACCCATTTCAGCCATACTGGTGTCTAGTAGGATACTATAAGGATGTCATTCTCGTTGCATGTCCCCGTAACACAGCAGGATGGAAGGTCAGAGGGAAAGAAAATACGGGCCCCATTTTCCAGTTTCCATCACATTGCTTTTATGATGCTGCTTGAAAATTAGGTGACTTTGAATACGGGAGGACAAGTTGGTGTGTCCTCCATGACAGAAGAACATAACACAGTACTTAGGAGTCCAGGACAGTCTTCTGAAGAAATATGTTCTTGAAGGGTTTTTGCTAGATAAATCCTAAAGATCCTACTGTGGACTTGTACTGTGGTTGGGGTCAACTCTTTATTAGCCCTGGGATCTGGAATTCAAATGTGGAGTCTAAAATAATGAAGGCTCCTTTTTATTAAAGGCTTCCCTCAGTCCATTTTTAGCCATTCTAAATGTTGGGATCCGTACAGTGCATCTTCTCTCACCTCCCTCACAAAAAACAGAAACAAAAAAGGAGTGTAACAATTGGATGGCTTTCTTTCCCTAACTTTTTCCCTTTGGATTTGTTGCTAGGGTGATACTTCAGGAGACTACCGGAAAATCCTGCTCAAGTTGTGTGGTGGAAACGACTAAGCGGAGCTTTCAGCTTTTTAAAAACCAGCTGCTTTTCTGTTAACGCGTTTAAAATATCAATGTTGGGTTTCGTTTCTTTTGGTTTTCCAAAAAACCAAACAGGCAGTGAATTGTTTTCCTAAAGCTACTATGTCTATGTAAAACTAACTCTCCATATCTTCCCCTTTCCATCCAAAAATGTATAATAAACACAAGAAAATCTAGCTATTGTAGAAACTGCTCAGGATTTTTTAAGTCACTCTCTAGTTAATGAATAACGGATTATTATTTCTGCTTGCATCCTTAGCTACAATAATTTTGTTTCCTGGTACAAAAATCACTCTTGTTGTGGGGGGGGTTGGGGACTTTGTTTTTTGTTTTGGATGCCTTTTCTATGGACATTGTATGAGTCTTTTTTTCACATGCCAGTTTTCTTGCATATGTTGCACACCGTGGTTTTGTGTGCATGAATGGAACCGCCCTCAGTTTGTTTTGCATTTAATTATATTGTTTTTTTAAAGAAGTTTTACTAAATACTTTTTTTCAGGAAGACCTGCTCTGCGATTTATGCTTCACTGCAAATATCACAAGAATGTAGCATCAATACCAATTCAGCCTCTCCAGTTACGGTTTTTGGATTGTGCCTTAAAAGCAATGCATATATCTAAAAGAGGATTGTAAAATTAAAGCCATATATCTTTTACACCACCCAGAACAGCTTCCTTTTGTTCTTAATATCATCCTACATTTTTTGTGTTGTGACTCAGTTAAACCATGTTACTTGGGACTTAGATGGAAACATTCTGCTGGAACTGATTAAGGGTTATCCAACCAAACAGAACTGTCTTAGCCAATGACAGTGCCTTGCTAATTGTGCACAGCTATTCTGTGTTTCTTTACTTATGCAATTTCCCTTGTGCTGATTAGATGTGGGTTTTTGACTTGTTTAATCGCTGCTCTGTTTTTTCTCAGTAGGCATGTACCAAATATGCAAATCTCTCTACTCTGACTCATCTCTTCTATGATTGGCTCCTGTAACTCTGAATTTTCAGACCTTTTGCCACAACATGAATCCCTCTTCATTTTGTCACTCCTCCCAAAGAAGGAAAATGTCAAAATTTTCAAGAGAATAGGGGGTGAGCTGGAGCTGTGAAAGGGAAAGATTTAGGAAAAATGCAAAGCCCTGTTAACTGATTTCATTCCTTCCACTCTTATCTACTAAAACTCAGCCAGGCGCCTGTTCCTAGGATAAATTACATTGTTTACACTGGGAGAAGCCTAGGCCTTCCAAATATAGGTTTGAAACAACATGTAAGCAAATACCTATTGGTGTTATTCTGGGGAGAGGAGCCTGGCTGAGTCCTAGGGATGGGACGGGAGGCAAGTAACTTCAAACTTTTTTTAAAACCTGCTTTGCCTACTGTGGTTTTACAGATCAATTAGTCTTAACCTTTGCCTAGTAAAACCTTCCTCAGAATAAATTTACCTTCACCTAATAAGCTCCTTGGCCTTCAGCCTTTAGATTTTTATTTGCTGTGAATGCCTCCATCTTTGGCCTTGGAATGAGTTCAGCTCCAGATTTGGTTCTCACCACAAAAAGGCCGAGAGAAGCAGTGTGACGCTGTTATAATAATGTGACTGCACTTCCAGTTTAGGTGGTAACAATGTATCCAACATTCTGGCTTCAGATATGGATGTGCCACTCGCATTTCAGGCAAAGGTAGGGATGTGCTTGTATCCCAAATCAGAACACCCCTAGTTCTGTCTGTTCTGTCAGACAGCCTAGCAGTGTGTTAAGAAAATTCTGAAAGGAAACCGTAATTGAATACATGTCTTCACCAGTACACACTAGTGACAAGAGCTGAATTCTTAGGTAGAAAGGAGTAAGAGCCGCTTCCTGGACTTTGAGATTGTGGTAGTTGAGTTTGTCAGGTGTGATCTGGCCCAGGTAATAAGGAGAGAGGATCAGGCTGAAATTTTCAAAACTGCTGATGTCAAGGCATCTTTGAAAATCTCACCCTCCAAATGCACGTTTCGTCAAGTGTGGGGTCTGGATTGCTTATAAGATAAAGCTTTAAAACAATGTCTGAAAAGCAATTCTTTTTATTAAAAAGCACAAATGCAAAGTAATTGTCTTCTCAGTGTTCTTCATCCCTCTTCAATCTCTAGAAATCCTACAAGGCTTATTAAAGCAACAAAGTGCAACTGTCTAAGACAGCCATACTTAGGAATATTATTAAATTCTGTTCTCTTCCATTGTCCTGGTGCTCAGCTGGCATCTGTGGGAAGAAGATTTGATATTATTTTTGGTGATATGAAGCCCAAATAGATACTTCACGTGTGTGAGTTTTTTGACACTTTAAAGAACAAATAAGAGACTAGCTTTAAGTATGAGAGAGGCTCTACTGATTCATTGGGTCACAGAGGGGAGACACCTGCAGTCTCTCTGCAATTCTTGGACCATTCAACAATTTCTTCCCTCCCCCCACAATAGTATATACTATACCTTGTAAAATATAAAGAACATTGTCTTCTTTCCTAATTCTACAAAACAGGTTACATCTGACTTCCATTCTGTAGTCCCTCGAACTTTTTCATTTTTGGAAAAAATTATAGTTAATGTAAGGGAGAGCATTAATTACTGACTAGTAACTGTGGTTAATGGAGAGGCAGCATGGTCTAATGAATAGGCACTGGACTGGGATGCAGGAGCCCTTGGTCCTAAACCCAGCTCTTGATGCTGACCTGGAGACAGATTTCTCAGGGGGGCTGAGGCACTGGAATGAACTCTCGCATGAACCAAGGTCCATCATAAACCTCAGGCTCCATGTGCCAATGCTTGCAAGGCACACTTCTGCAACCTGCCTTCTCAAAACACCCAGCTGTGTGTACATTAAATAACCAAAAAATTCACCAAAACAAAACCCAATATTTCATGCACAGGTTTTTTTTCCCTTTGAAGCGTGAATGGGAGAGAGAACAAACCACATATGACAGATATTAGTCACTTCACTTAATGCATGACTGGCAGGTGCTCAGCTACTAAGGTGATGAGTGCAATAAAAGATTTTGTATAGAAGTAATAAGGAGTCAGGTGGCACCTTAAAGACTAACAGATTTATTTGGGCATGAGCTTTCGTGGGTAAAAAAACACTTCTTCAGATGCATGGAGTGGATACAGACTAACACGGCTACCACCTGATACTTTGTATAGAAATGTGACCTTGTGGAAGTCACTTCACCTCTCTGGGCCTGCTGGTTTGCAGATGCTCTTCATGCATGCATGCATGCATTTGGTGTTCAAGCTCTGCATTTCAAAAGTAAACTCAGGCTATCAAAAATTTAATTTCTCCAGTGATTTTTCAAAAGACTATATGTCGGGCTACAACTGGGGGGGGAAATCGGATATTTTGGTGTAGCGTAACAAAAATTATTGCTGACCTTACTATATACTATCCCTAGGAGATACAGACCATCAAAAATGTCCATGAGGGGGATTCCAGGAGCGATTGGAGCACTCCATGCTGTTTCACTGATGTCCTTCAGTAACGTCTTCACTTCTGACTCTAGATACTCGACTGTTTTCTCTACCTGCTAATAAAAACAGAGGCAAGGAAGTCAGGATAAGATGGAGGGGAAAGACTATCAAGCCTGCTTGTAAAACAACTAACTGAGGGTCAGGACATTAGCTACAACTGTGTTTTAAGTCCTGTACTCATCCAGTCAGTTGAACTGCCTGTTGGTTTAATAACTTTGGTGTCATACTGACCTCTGGTGGCCATGAGAGATGAATTTTAATTTTTGTTTTTTTACATGTAGCAGCTCAATAAACTGAGCTGTTTGTAATGTTGGCTTTTGGAGGGTGGGTTAGAAAGGATGTGTTTGTTTGAGCCAGCGGAGCACCCAGGAAAACACAACCAATGGAGAAGCTAGGGTGGAGGGCCTGCCTGTTAAGAACTGAGAAAAGGCAGATTAGGTGCCAGCCCATGTTCTCATTGAAAATACTTGGTGCTGAACATAAATTGTGTATTGCAGGTGCTTCCTACACTATGGCAAGACAATAAAGGGCCAGACTTGACTAGAAATCCATTCACTGCCTTTATTTGGGTTTTAAGCATCTGCAATAGCCCAGCCTTCTTCAGCCATGAAGTCTGCAAGGAACTGGTGTTAATGTTCTCACAAAATTAATAATGATCTGATGCAGGGATCGGCAACCTTTGGCATGCGGCTCGCCAGGGTAAGCACCCTGGCAGGCCGGGCCAGTTTGTTTACCTGCTGCGTCCGCAGGTTCGGCCGATCGCAGCTCCAACTGGCCGCGGTTCGCCGCTCCAGGCCAATGGAGGTGGCGGGAAGCGGCGCGGGCTGAGGGATGTGCTAGCTGCCGCTTCCCGCCGCCCCCATTGGCCTGGAGTGGTGAACCACGGCCATGGAAGCTCTGGTCCAGCTACTTGCAGATGCCCTGTGGGTGAAATCCTGGCTCCTCTGAAGTCAGTGGCAAAATTCCTATTGACTTCAGAGGCACCAAGATTTTATCTCCTGCCTTTAAGCATTTAGGTCTGCTGCAGATAGTGCAAGAGCCCTTGCCCCATCTGGAAGGTCTGGCTAAACTGAATCCGGGAAGGAAAACTGCCTGAAAATGTGGCCTTTTGCCCCCACCTTTTTGGTCAGCCTAATAGGATTAAGGTTTGGGGCCAGGTGGCAGCAGTTCTTACCTCTTCGATCACATCTAAGCGCCTATGGATTGTGTTGTGTTCATTGCACCAGTCGCTCCTCCCTGAACTTCCAGGTGGTATGCTGACAGGATCTGCAGCAGCTGTGGAAACCATTACAGTGATGTGATGGGGCTTTGCTATTGCTAATGGTTGATAACCTTTCATCAGGCAGCTCAGCTTGGAGTTCTAATGACTGAAGGGCTCGTGGGATGTTAAAGAGAATGCAATGAAACATCAACATGGGATTTTTGAACCTGTGGTCCTAATAACTAAGCCTCCTAAGCCAGGCCCTGGGGTGTTATGTTGTGGTACACACACTGGGGTTGTTGGGATCAAGCTGTATGCTTTTTGAGACCATTGATTTTCTTCCGTGCCATGTAGGCCTTGTTATATGCATATTCTGTGCTTTCCAGAACATTGCTGTATCTCTACTAATGTATATCCTGATGATCAAGGAGGTGCAGCTGTACTTCCACATGACTCTATACCAGCCTTTCTCTAAAGAAAGTGGTGTACCCTGGCCTGGAAGGGCATGCCTGTTTGCTTATGCTGCTTGAAGGGATACAATCTGTTTGGTGATGCCCTGTTGCCATTGAACAAGTGTCTGTTGCTCTAGTTTCACAGCAGGGAGGAGAAATAATCAAGACGTGTACAAATGATCATTTATTGACAAATGGTGTGTCTGTGGGGCTGTTTACAATGTGGTTAATCTTTGTTTATCTGCTTAGTAGTGGTGTTGATTGTTTGCATTGCTCTTCCTCCTAATTTACTCAGGAACTTGATTGAGGGCACTAATGAGCTCCTTTCACTTCATATTAGTGCACTTTTCATTTTCTTGTCTGTAGCCTCTGAGAGGACCCTGGGTATGGGTTAGGAGTCTGTCAGCATTCATTCATTAATGTAGCCATCTCATGATGAATTTCCTTTAATAATTCTTTCGTGTCTATGCGCTGCTGCTTTAGGGTTTTGTAAGCATTTGTGTAAAATCCTATAAGAGTTTTTTTTTTAAAAATTCATAACTCATGGTACCTCCACAGACACAAGCATTTCAGCTGGGAATGCTGAATGTGAAAGGACAGGAGGCAGGACAGTCCTGTGGAGAAGGGTGTGAGCTGGAGACGAGTGTTCTATTTCCAGCTTTGCCACTGATCTGCTGTGAGCAAATTAAGTCACCCCACACATCTTGTCTATTTAGCCTTTTAAGGTCTTTGGGATGGGATTGTCTCTGTGTTTGTACAGAACCCAGAGCAATGTGGGTCTCATTTCCTTTGGTCTCATTTCCATTGTTGGGTTTAGTGTGTGAGTGCTGGATGGCATTGGTGGTATGCAGGAGATCAGAGTAAATGATCTAGGCGTCCCTTCTGGCTTCAAACTCTGATTCTAAACAAATAATAATGAGTTAATTTTAAGAAGCTCCTATTAAAAGATGACTGACAAACACTAAAGAAATAGTGGAGAAACATCTTGTAACAGTGACACATTCTGCTATTTAAAAGGGCCTGATCTAGCACTCATGGAAGTAATTGGGAGTTTTTTCTATCAGTACCTATAAGGGCTGAGCCAACTCCCATATCTGGTGGCTACTGCTGGGACCAGCCCACAGGGCTGAGGGAAAGGTAGAGGGTGGCCAAAATGTAGAAGAAGAATATCTGCATTGCTCAACTTGAAGCCATACAGGGGGGAGGGGGAAGAAGGGAGAGAGAGAGGCTAGCTCCCAGAAATAAAAGACCTGGGATCTCACTGGCAGATCATTGGCATATGAGCAAATTCAAGTCCTGAAGATTTGTTGACAGGTCCTTCTTCAGGGACCCTTTGTCCCCCATCACAGAGGAGAGGGAGTTATGGTTATATTGGGGTCGTCAATTATTTCGTCAAGGTCCAGATAACTTGGTCAAGCCATAGTCAAGGTCCAGTCTCCTGAGAAGAAAATAAGTAAATAAAAAGATTTTGGGGTCCATTCAAAAGCATCTGGTGGTCAGGGTTTGGCCTGGGGTCCACTTATTGACTACCCCTGGATTATATGGTAAGATTCCTGTAAAGCTGCACTGGACCCACTTAAATGCCTGATATGAAAGAGCCGGGGCAGAGAGGGCCCATGTTCACTGTTAAATTAATAAAGTTAAGCCTGCTGCTTAAATCATCCATATGTCGATCTTCTTCATTTTCCTGCGTGTCCTGATCAATGTGCGTCCTAGCTTGTTTATCCCTAGTCTCTCCCCACACACTATCATTTACCTTCTCTTTGGAATAGGCTTTCCTAGAAACCATGTTTGTACAATCAGAAGAAAAGTTTGCCAAAGTTGCTCTGAGTAACTTTCCTATAGTTGAGTGAAGAGATTTTATTATTATTTATATGTCAGCTGAGCCTACAGGCCCACCCTGTAGAGCTTGCAACCCAAAAAGACAAGACCGGTAAAGGCTGGGAGGGGAAAGATAGGAACTTGCAAGGTGAAATGACTCATCCAAGGTCACAGGAAGAACTGGGATGGGAAACATTAGGCTCCTGACTCCTAATCTAGTGCCCTATCCACTAGCCCATTCTGGCTGTCTTCTTGCTCCACAATATAGAATTCAGTAACTCCTCACTTAAAGTCGTCCCAGTTAATGCTGTTTCCTTGTTACGTTGCTGATCAATTAGGGAACATGCTCGTTTAAATTTGCGCAGGGCTCCCTTATAACGTCGTTTGGCAGCTGCCTGCTTTGTCCACTGCTTGTAGGAAGAGCAGCCCTTTGCAGCTAGCTGGTGGGGGCTTGGAACCAGGGTGGACCGGCAGCCCCCCATCAGCTCCCCGCTCCCCTAAGTTCCCTGTGCGGCAGCCGCCCAGCAGGCTGTCAATTACCGGCAGTTCAGCTGTCCCTCCGCCCACTGCCATGTGCTGCTCCTGCCCTCTGCCTTGGAGCTGTTCCCGGGAGCCTCCTGCTTGCTGTGTGGTGGTGGGGGGGGAGGAAATGGGGGGCTAATGTCAGGGTGTCCCCCTCCCCCCTGCTCCTGCCCCCCGCTTACCCCATCTCTATAGAGCTTGGGGGGACACAACAGGCCTCAGGATGAAGGGAGCTTGCTGGCAGCAGCTGCTGTCTCAACTTGCTGACTTACTTAAAAAGGCAATGTACTTAGAGTGGGGTCAGCGTACTTAAAGGGGCAATGTGCATCTCTCTCTCACACACACAGTGCGTGTCTCTGTCTCTCTCTGCCATGCTGTCTCCCCTCTCTCCATTTGTGCTGCCTTGTAGAGTGTGAGGCTACATTAACAACAATGTGTTAACCCTTGAGGGCTCAGCCGAATGCTAGTTCATCATTTAGCAGTAAGGCATTCCCTGAGAAATATCCCACCCTTTGACTTCACCACCTCAACCAAGCTTCACAATCATCACTGCTGTGTACAGTATTAAATTGTTTGTTTAAAACTTATACTCTGTGTGTGTGTGTGTGTGTGTTTGTGTGTACAGACGCCCCCCGGGTTATGCAAACCCGACATACGCAAATCTGCACTTACAGGAAAAAGTTCCATAAGCTAAAAATAGGAGGGTGTTTTTTGCATAATGGTGGGGTATATGTTTCTGACTTACGCAAAATTTGAGTTACGCAAGGTGTTCCGGAATGGAACACTTGCGTAAGTCGGGGAGTGTCTGTATATATAATATAGTCTTTGGTGAAAAAAATTTCCCTGGAACCTAACCCCCCCATTTACATTAATTCTTATGGGGAAATTGGATTCGCTTAACATCGTTTCGCTTAAAGTCACATTTTTCAGGAACATAACTACAGCGTTAAGCGAGGAGTTACTGTAGTGCTTACTGGGAGAGGGCAATTTGAATATTGCATTTCAAATACACACTTCTTCCAACTCAGAGCTCTAGTCAAAATGTCAGTGATCTCACTCACCATCTAGCTTAGACCTACTTTACATTGTCCAAGTTAACTAAATAAATTAGTCTCAGAAGTGATTCTTTGCTTACCACCTTTTCCATTCCCTTTCCCCACCCCCCCCACCCCGCTCTACTACAAGCTGTGGGGAGGGGAAATGGGTACAAAATTATATATTAGCTGCTGAATATTCTATTGAATTTCTTAAGTACAGTTATAAAGTGGCTAAGAGCCACAATAGTTGCACTAAAAGTTGTTACTTGAACAGAATCCTAGAAATGTAGGGCTAGAAGCGACCTCAAGAGCTCAGTGAGTCCAGCCCCCTGTGCTGTGGCAGGACCAAATAAACCTAGACCATCCCTGAAAGGTGTTTGTTCAACCTGTCTTTTAAAATCCTTCAGTGATGGGGATTCCATAACCTCCCTGGGAACCCTACTCCAGAGCTTAATTACCTTCACAGTTAGAAAGTTTTTCCTAATAACTAACCTAAATCTCCCTTGTGGCAGATTAAGCCCATTACTTCTCCAGGTCCAGTGAAAGTAGAACAAGAACAATTGATTGTCTGTTCTCTTTATACATACCACCTTTAACATGTTTGAAGACTGTTATTTGATCCCCCCCTTAGTCATCTTTTCTCAAGACTAAACATGCCCAGTTTTTTAACCTTTCCTCATAGGTCATAAATCTTTTATCATTTTTATTGCTCTCCTCTGGACTCTCCTTAATTAGTCCACATGTTTCCTAAAGTGTGGTGCCCAGAATTGGACACATTACTCCAGCTGAGGCTTCACCAGTGTGGAGTACAGTGGGACAATTGCCTCCCATGTCTTCCATATGACACCCGTTAACCCACTGCAGAATGATAATGGCTTTTTTTTTGCAGCTGCATCACATTGTTTACTCATTCAACTTGTGATCCTCTATAACCCTGAGATCCTCTTCAGCACTACTACTGCCTAAAAGTTATTCTCCATTCTGTAGTGGTGCATTTGATTTTTTTTTTTTTCTTACAAAGTGAAGTACTTGTTTTTACTGAATTTCGTCTTGTTGATTTCAGACCAATTCTCCAATTTAAGATCATTTTGAATTCTAATCCTGTCCTCTCAAGTGCTTGCAACCTTTCCAAGCTTAGTGTAATATGCAAATTTTATACACATACTCACCACTTCATTATCCAAGTCATTAATGAAAATATTGAATAATACCAGACTCAGGACTGAACCCAGGCAAGACTCC